CTTGCTTTCTGGTTTTCCATGTGGTCTGTCCTGTGCAGGTGCTCTGCCACCGGCATCCACCGCCCTTTCATCAGGTGCTGAACCTGATCTTGGGCTGTGAACCTCCAAAACCGTGACTCAGAATAAACCTCCTTCCTTCCTGAGACACAACAAGCTTGGTGCAGTAATGAAAAGGTGATGAGTAGGCTAATCCTCCGCCTAGCGGCGCCGGCACACCGGGTTCTAGTCCCGGTCGGGGTACCGGATTCTGTCCCGGTTGCCCCTCTTCCAGGCCAGCTCTCTGCTGTGGCCAGGGAGTGCAGTGGAGGATGGCCCAGGTGCTTGGGCCCTGCACCCCATGGGAGACCAGGAAAAGCACCTGGCTCCTGGCTCCTGCCATCGGATCAGCGCGGTGAGCCGGCCGCAGCGCGCCGGCCGCGGCGGCCATTGGAGGGTGAACCAACGGCAAAGGAAGACCTTTCTCTCTGTCTCTCTCTCTCTCTCACTGTCCACTCTGCCTGTCAAAATTATACTAGAAATAGAAAAGGAAAAGCACAGATGGTGATGAGTACAGCAGAGCAGGTGCACTGTGACCACAGACTTAACTGACCTTTCAGAAATGAAAAACAAACGGGGTGGCATTCGGAACATCAGTTAAAACGCTACTTCCAATGCCTGCATCTCAAATTGGAGTGCCAGCTCCACTTTTTTTTTTTTTTTTTTTTTTTAAGATTTATTTATTTATTTGAAAGGCAGAGTTACAGAGAGGCAGAGCAGAGAGAGTGGTCTTTCACCCGCTGGTTCATTCCCCATTTGCCACAATGTCCAGAGCAGTGCCAATCCAAAGCCAGGAGCCAGGAGCTTCTTCCGGGTCTTCCACGTGGGTAGGGGCCCAAGGACTTGAGCCATCTTCCACTGCTTTCCCAGGCTACAGCAGAGAGCTGGATTGGAAATGGAGCAGCCAAGACTTGAACCAGCGCCCATAAGGGATGCAGACACTGCAGGTGGCAGCTTTACCTTCTACACCACAGCGCCGGCTCCCAGCTCCACTTTCAACTCCAGCTTCCTGCTAATGTGCACCCTGCGAGGCAGCAGGTGATGGCTCAGGTACTTGGGTTCCTGCCAGCTCAAATCGAGTTCCAGACTCCTGGCTTCTGCCTGGCCCAGCTCTGGCTATTGCAGGCATTTGGGAAGCGAACCAGTGTGTAGATCTCTGTCTTGCCTCTGTTTTTCTGCCTTTCAGATACAAAAAAAGACATTAAAAAAAAAAGTATCACAGTAACAATGTTCTCTAGAAGTCTGTGCCAGATTATGCAGGCTTCAGACTTTTACCAAATCTCTTGCAGGGTGATTTAATCAAAAGACTTCGGGAATACATGCTGGGTTACAGGTGCCTCTTTATAAGTAAAACATCAGCAGTTTACATTCATATAAGAATATGTTTACTTTAAAACACTGAAAGAACATAAAAAGGTAGCAAGCCAAGAAGTAGAGGTTTATGGATCTAATTTTCTGAGGCATAAGCGGGTTGACAAGGAGACCCAAGAAAACTTGACAGGGGCATGATCAGTTCTTGATAAGGTGAAAAACCAGGGGCCTGATCGCTTCAGTTGCTGAACAATAATGATACGTGCAACTCTCGAGTAAAGTGTCCCATCCCCCGAGAGGCTCTCCGGCGCCCTGCCTCCTTCCCGGAGCCAGAGGACTGCTTTGTGTGAAGGAGCAGCTACTGTGTCACAGTGAACACTGAAGGTCATCTCCCTGTTGTTTATTTTGGTTAAAATTCTTTGTTTGGGGGCCGGCATTGTGGCCTAGTGGGTTAAGCCACTACCTGTGATGCCAGTGTCCCATATGGGTGCCAGTTCATGTGCCGGCTGCACCTTTCTGATCCAGCTTCCTGCTAATGGCCTGGCAAAAGCAGCAGAAGATGGCCCAAGTGTTTGGGATGCTGCCACCCATGTGGGGGACCCGGATGAAGCTCCTGGCTCCTGGCTTTTGCCTGGCACAGCCCTGGTTGTTGTGGCCATCTGGGGAGTGAACCAGATGAAAGATCTCTCTTTGTCTTTCCCTCTCTCTCTGTAACTCTGCCTTTCAAATAAATAAATAAATTTAAAACAAAATTCTTTGTATGACACCAAAGGCACAAATGACAAAATTTTAAAAATTGATAAATGGGTCTTAATAAAGGATATTATCAAGAAAGTGAAAAACAATCATGGAATGAGAAAAATGTTTGCAAATCAAATCAAGTATAGGAGATAAACTATGGGGGCCAGTGTTGTGGCGCAGTGGGTTAAGCCACCACTGGGGACACCTCCATCCCATATCAGAATCCTGGTGCAAATCCCAGCTGCTTTCCTTCCAATTTGGCTTCCTAAGTGCTTGGATCCCTGCCACCCATGTGGGAGACCAGGATGGAGTTCCTGGATCCTGACTTTGTCCTGGCCTAGCCCTTGCTGATGTAGGTATTTGAGGAGTGAACCAGCAGAATGAATCTCTCTGTTATCGTGCCTTTCAAATAAATGAGTAGATGTTTAAAGGCGGGAGGAGTGGGGGGTGGAGAGAGAGAGTGGAATTGTGGGACATCCATATAATGGGAATCTTACTTAGCAATTACAAGAAACAGGCTACTAAGCCAAGCAAAGACCTGGGTGACTTGTAAATGCATATTGTCAAGTGAAAAGGACATATACTTCATGGCTCCAATTATACAAAATTCTGGAAAAGGCAAAACACTCATGCATTCAGGAGGAGGGAATAAAATGCACAAAGTACAAGGAATTTTTTAGGGTGGTGAAACTGATATTGCAATAACAGATACAGAAAACTGTGTTTGGGGCTGGTGCTGTGGTTAAGCCTCTGCCTGCAGTGCTGGCAGTGGCCATATAGGCACTGGTTCAAGTCCCAGCTGCTCCACTTGTGACCCAGCTTCCTGCCAATGTGTCTGGGAGAGCAGAAGATGGCCCAAGTACCTGGGCCCCTGCACCCACATGGGAGACCTGGAAGAAGCTCCTGGCTCCTGGCTTCCGATTGGCCCAGCTCCAGCCATTGCAGCCATCTGGCGAGTGAACCAGTGGGTGAAGATCTCTCTCTTGCTGTCTCTCCCTCTGTTTGTAACTCTGCCTCTCAAATCTTTTATTTTTATAAAAAGAAAACTATGCATTTGTCAAGACCCATTAAACACAGAGTGAATCTTTATTTTGTAGATTAAAAAAAATAATTTAGGGGGCCAGCGCTGTGGCTTAGTGGGTTAGGCTGCCACCTGCAGTGCTGGCATCCCACATGGGTGCCAGTTTGAGTCCCGGTGCCTCCACTTTCGATCCAGCTCTCTGCTATGGCCTGGGAAACAGTGGAAGATGGCCCAGTTCCTTGGGCCCCTGTGCCCTCATGGGAGACCCAGAGGAAGCTCCTGGCTCCTGGTTTCAGATCAGCACAGCTCTGGCCATGGAGGCCAATTGGGGAGCGAACCAGTGGATGGAAGACCTCTCTCTCTGCCTCTCCTGGGTAACTCTTTCAAAATAAATAAATCTTTAAAAAATTATTAAAAAATCATTTAGGAAGCAGGGGGAGAGGAGAATCCCAAGATGGAAGGCTGAATCTTACAGCAGTATCTTATATACCACACACACACACACACACACACACACACACGATCTCACTGAAGGGAGTGGAGGTGATTGGCGCTGACCTCAGTAACTTTGGAACTGTGTACAACTTAAGGGAGAAGAAACCACACGCATCATGTACACTAGTTTACTGTTGCTTCCCAAGTGGGTATGGGCTAGTAATTCGGGACTGCTATACACGCATGGTCTCCAGCTTACGATGGTTTCATCTAGATCTATTATTTTTTCACCTTTCCAATAGTCTGAAAGTATATTCAGTAGAAACTGTACTTCAAATTTTGCATTTTGATTTTTGCCTGAGCTAGCAATTCTAGGTATTCTCGGATGCTGGGGAGCAGCAGTGAGCCGCGCCTCCGCCGTCAGCCGCGCCATCACAGGGTACACAACCAGCACTCTGTGGTGTACTGTGCTGCCAGATTGTTTTGCATTATAGGTGTTCCATGAATTACCTGAGATTACTAAGTAATTTTGCCTATAGGCTAATGAAAAGTGTTCTGAGCATGTTTAAGTTAAGCTAGGATAACATGCTGAATGTTTGCTAGGTTAGCTGAATTAAATCCATTTTCAACTCAAGATAGTTCCAAAATTCAATGTGTCTGTTGGGCTGGAACCCCAGCCTAAGTCAGGAGCATCTGTACACCGAGAGTGAACAATGCGGAAAGTGCACAGCAGATGGTGAGTCAGGCTTCTGGTTCAGGGTACTAACAGGATACGGATCCATTTGCATGAGCAGCACTGTTGGACATCCTACAGAACACTGAACACTGTCCAGGTCATGAGAAGCAGGGAAAGCCAGAACTGCCTCTGGCAACAGTCTATGCACACGTGAGCACTAAGTGTATGGCATCCTGGAACAGAAAAATGGGCCTTAGGGAAAACACTTCAAGGATGGGGAAGCCGGCACCCTCCCACATTGCCAGGCCTGTAAATGGCTGCAACCACTTTGGCAAAGTGGAGTTCTCAAAAGATGAAATGTAGTAAGTGACTCAATCTGTCCTCCAAATTGAATACATTATAACCACACAAAAATTAGTAACATTCACAGCAGCCTCCAAATGGGAGGAGGGGAGGAGCAAGTGCCCACTAACCACCACTGGGCACTAACAATGCAGTACTGAGGCAAGCTACTGAACAAGGGGAAGCCTGAAGGCCATAGAGTATCATTCCACTTACACAAAATGTCCAAGTAGACAAATATTTAGAAGCCAAATTAGTCATTTATTAGAGCTTTGCACAGTGGCTGGGGGAAGTGAGATACTGGGAGCAGGGACCTGTGAAACACTGCTTGTGCTGGTGATACTATGCTGATTCTCTAACACTTTGATAGGATGCCCCTCCCCAATAATTTCCTTTGCTACAAACACTTGGGTAGAGAAAGGCAAAGAAACACTACACTGAACAGTTTTATAAACCTTTATTGGAAAGGCTACAAACTTCATATTGCAACTGCATTTCTTAAGCTTAAAGTGGCTGTGGGGAAGGAACCTTGAATACAAAACTACTCTGCTGTTGTATCTTGCCCAGGCTTGTTGTAAAATATTTTTTGTACAATGGAGGTAGAGTGGATTGGGCAGTAATTTAAACCTCACATGTCTTGATTAGTGGCAGGACACCTTTTTTCATTCAGGTTCTAACAGACCTAGGATTAAACTACATACCGTATTTAGGCTCAGGGATGGCATTAACACATATTAAAAATTTTAATTTTCGGTTTTCCCCCATTTGTTCCTTTACGAATGTAAAATGTGCACCTGGATGTCTCCTCTTCCTCAAATAAATGTGTTCTAAAAATCTTTGCCCTGGGAGTGAGAAGGTAATAATCAGATGGAAAGAGGAACACAACATCCTTTTCAAACTTTCACCTGATTTTTTTCATTACAACCTCAGTCTTACTTTTCTATAAAAAATTAAACAGAAGATCAAACTAATAATCAGTGCTTTCCCCCAATTTCAAATATTCAAGTTAATGGAGACAGAGCAACTTTTAACTTAACATTTAATGAAAACAGAGCATTTTAACAGGTTGTATGCAGACATGGTTCTACTAATGATTTGCTGTTACCTTATTTTTAAAAATGGGAGTACGAGGGAGATACAGAGGCCTGGGCGAGCCCCAATATTCAGGATCATTAACTTAGGAGTTACATTAACTTAGATGTCCTGGACTCTACGAGCATCAATTAAAGCCAATAAAGCCTGTTTCTACCAACTTTGTCTTTAAAACTAAAAAATGGGCAGGTGCCTGAAGTATAAGCCTCAGGCCAATGGGTTAAGGGCTGTATAAGAACCAGAACTAAGGATACATTCTCCAGTTTAAGGATACACTTTACAGTTTAACATGTTCTTCCTTCTAAAAATGTGACACAAAGAATAATTTACACCAACTGCTTTTTATTATCAAGTTTCAGAAACCTTTCACAAGATGGTAAAAAAAAAAAAAAAGAAAAAAGAAAAAACAAAACAAAATTTTACAACCACAGCTAATTTAATTTTTCCATTGTTCCCAGTCAGCTCCAAACCCATTGTGTGCAAAGCCCATTTTCCATGCATCTAATGATAGATACAGGCTATGAAATTCTTTATTCTATTTGTAGCAGCTTATGCAGGTGCAGCCAAACACAAAGCTTCAGGACAAATTGTACAACTTTACAATGTGGGATTTGAATTTAAAATATGAAACATAAAATCTACACAAAACTGATAAAAATCAAGCACAGATACCAGGACTGAAACTTATAACCCATGTGTGAAAGGGAGTCTTGTTTCCTTTCAAGTGCTTTATTCTGCTACAGAACAGTCGAAATGAAGATGTAAAGCTTTGTGTTAGTTTAAATTATACACTCTGTAGATACTATACCAATTTTAAAAGTTACACATAGACCAACAGATGTCCATCAGTTCATCTGGATTGATCCGACACTCCAGCTGGATCGCTGAGAACAAATCAGGCACACGTGGAAAGAGAATCCACCTGCGCATTCTGTTCGCTGAGTTTACTGATGGGCACACTGCACTCCAGGTCCATGATGGCTGCTGCTTTCCTCATCAGAGCTATCATTGTAGGCCTCGCGCCTCTGACCACCTCCTGAGCCTCGTGTGCTATCAAATTCCTGAAGCTCTACCTCCTCCGTTTCTCCAATTATGTTAGGAACTTCTGGTCTAGATGGCAGAAGATCTTCTAGTTCCTTCATTAAAACAAACAACAATCAAGTGAATGCAGGCGTATCAGCTTCTGTTTGACTCAGACAAGGTGTATGCTTGAGAGCTGAAACAGGAAAGTGACTGGTCTCTGCACTTTTAAGTCAGAAACCACAAACTGATGACCCACAGGCCAAATCTGCAGACATCTTTTGTGCAATTCATCTATCACTTAAAAAAACAAACAAAAACACCCCAGAAGGAGCTAACATTTAAGCATTACAGAATTTCACACCAGACATGCCTCTGCTTGCTTGCTGCATGGAACAATGGCAAAGCAGGGGGTGGAAAATGTCCTGTCCTCTTCAGGTGAGTGACAGGCTCTCCAGGAAGTCCTAGGACAACCACGACGACGACCACGACCACCACCACCACCACCACCACCACCACTCCAGTCTGCTTACTCTTTTCATATCCCCTGCTCAGTCCGGTAGCAATTCTACACCAGCAATTCTAACTGTCATAACCAGGAAAACCCAATAATTATGCAAATATTAAAAAAGTAAACTTTTGTGATCTAAGTGCCAACACGAAATTAAAGGTGACAAAGTGCCATGACCATTAAAGAACACTTACAGAAAGCTTGTCTGGGTTGATCCAGTTGTTTTCAGGAAACTGCACATCAAACTTTATGTAAAGATCCCCCTTTTCAAAGGGATTACGATACTGTGGCATTCCTTCACCTCGAACCACACGAACACATCCTATTATTTAAGTAAACATGAAACTAAGAATTTTATTCAAGAAAGGTGCTCAAAAACATTTTTGACAGTTACTCATTATAAAAAGTTACAGATTATAAGAATACTTGGAATCCTTGATCAGAGAAAATCAAGACTTACCTGGTTCAATTACTTTGCCAGGGGGGTATTTCACCACAATCTGACGGGCATCAAGGTGCTTAAATGTGAACTGAAATCCACACAGGGCTTCAACAAGTCCTATCTTATATGTCATATGTAAATCATTTCCATCTCTCTGGAACACCTGTAGATAAAGCACACAAGAAAGATCACTTTTTAAAAGTTAAGGATCCATACTCCACTGTACTATGTTCCTTGAATCAAATCTCAAAACCTTTATTCCAGCATTAGTTTAAAAGCCAAAGGGACACTGTCCCTACTGCCTAAATTTGTATTAGGAAAGCTAGCTACTCTCCAGCAACACACTGGAAACCTCTATCAGGAAGACACTGGAACTCAGAAAACAGCAGCATATAAAAAAACAACAGAGCTAAGGCTCCAAAACAGCACTAGGATGTTTTTGTTATTAGTCCACTTTCTGTCTCTGGGCAAAGAGGTATAGAAAGCTCAGTGGGGCTTCTGTAGAACATACAAGTCCTGGAAGGCTCCCCAGGTAACAGGGGATGCAGGGTTCAAGTCTGACATAAAAAGGCCACTGAAGTCAAAGGGCTCAATTTTGTGCTTTACACATGTATGAACAAGTTCTATCTCACTTAAAACTCAAAACTTGAGGCCAGCGCTGTGGTGTAAAATGTTAAGCATTTGCCTGAGGTGCCAGCATCCCATCTGGGTGCTGGTTCAAGTCCCAGCTGCTCCACTTCCAATCCAGTTCCCTGCTAATGTGCCTGGGAAAGCAGAAGATTGCCCAAGTACTTGGGCCCTTGCACCCACGTGGGAGACCTGAAACAAGTTCCTGGCTCCTGGCTCTGGACTGGCCCAGCCCTGGCTGTTGCAGCCACTGGGGGAGTGAACAAGTGAATGGAAGATCTCTCTCTCCTCTCTGTATCTCTGCCTTTCACATAAAAAAATTAAAAATCTTAAAACAAAAACAAAAAAAACCTCAACTTATTTTGATGAGTGTAAATTAAACAGAAAATTCTAAAGTTGGTTTATTCAGTATTACACTGTAAGGACATGGACGAGGTGATACCAAGGTTATTGAATAAGCGTGAAGAATATCTCTAAGCTTACAACATGCAGGAAAAAAACATTGATTTCTTTTCTTTTTTTTTTTTTTTGACAGGCAGAGTGGACAGTGAGAGAGAGAGAGAGAAAGGTCTTCCTTTGCCGTTGGTTCACCCTCCAATGCCCGCTGCCGGCGCACTGCAGCCGGCGCACCGTGCTGATCCGAAGGCAGGAGCCAGGTGCTTCTCCTGGTCTCCCATGGGGTGCAGGGCCCAAGGACTTGGGCCATCCTCCACTGCACTCCCAGGCCACAGCAGAGAGCTGGCCTGGAAGAGGGGCAACTGGGACAGAATCCGGCGCCCTGACCGGGACTAGAACCCGGTGTGCCGGTGCCGCAAGGCGGAGGATTAGTCTAGTGAGCGGTGGCGCCAGCCAAAACATCGATTTCAAACACACACACAACCAACTGTAAATTTTGCTTAGGAGAATTTACATCTATCTATACAACTTTCAAAATTTAAGAGTAAACAAAATTAAATGCAGTTAAAGTTCACTTTGATTGTTTTGCATTACAATATTCTCTTCTGAGGTACAATCTTGGGTGATTATCTTAAAGAAAATAAAAAAGGCAGGCTTCTTCCCCTCAATCAGTCCCCTAAACCCATGAAAAAAAGTCAAACAGTGATTCTCCTGAGTGGGGTTCTGGACTAGCAGCCTCAGCAGAAGCAGGAAACTTGCCAGGAACACACATTATTGGGTCCCACTTCCGTACCTACTGCCATAAACGATGGAGGTGGGGTCCAGCAAGCTGTAGTTATTTTCTGGTTTTTAAAGTGTTTATCTGAAAGGCAGAGCATGACAGAGGCAGGGGGGCTGAAGCCAGGAGCCAGGAACCCCATCTGGGTCTCCCACATACTTGGATCATTTTCTGCTGCCTTTCTAGTTTCATTATTAGTAGGAAGCAGAATCAGAAGCAGCGCAGCCAGGACTGTTCAAAGTAGCACTATGATGTGGGAAGCCAGTGTGACAAGCAGCGGCTTAACCTGCTGCGCCACAATGCTGGTCCCAAGGTTCAGTTTTAACAAACCCCTCCAGAGGATTCTAATATATGCTAGAGTGTGAGAACAAGAAATGTATATTATCCATGCAAATTTACTCAAGTATTCCTCACAATGATATCAGTTAGGTTTCTTTAATGCAGGACTCAGTGCTTTTAAAATGTTATGTATGATATAAAATGCTAGTGTTCCAAGAACCATCTCTCAACAAATGCCCCTTGGTTAAAGCTGTATTAGAAGTAGGGAGGTTGGGGGCTGGCGCTGTGGCGTCGCGGGTTAATGCCCTGGCCTGAAGCACTACATCCCATATGGGCACCAGTTCAAGACCTGGCTGCTCCACTTCCTATCCAGCTCTCTGCTGTGGCCTGGGAAAGCAGGAGAAGATGGCCCAAGTCCTTAGGGCCCTGCACACACGTGGGAGACCCAGAAGAAGCTCCTGGCTCCTGCCTTCAGATCGGCGCAGCTCCGGCCATTGTGGCCACTTGGGGAATGAATCAGCGGACAGAAGACCTCTCTCTCTCTGCCTCTCCTCTCTCAGTGTAACTCTTTCAAATAAATAAATAAATCTTAAAAAAGAAGTAGGGAGGCTAAAAGGGACATCATGTTCTTGTACAGCAGAGTTCAACTTGAAGGGATTCCAATGAAAAATTAGGTGGTGGTTATTGTTTTGGTGGGAGTGGGGGGCAGGGTTGGGGCTAGACAATTTGATGCTAAAGTTTAAAAAGAGTAATCAACAAGAATGCCTTTTTTTTTTGAAAAATACAATTAATGAGGAAACACTAATTAAAAAGTTATAATGGGGCTGGTGTTGTGGTGTGATAGGTTAATTCTCCACCTGCAGTGGCAGCATCCCATATGGGTGCCAGTTCTAGTCCTGGCTGCTCCTCTTCTGAACCAGCTCTCTGCTATGGCCTGAGAAAGCAAAATACGGCCCAAGTGCTTGGGTCCCTACACCCATGTGGGAGACCGGGAAGAAGCTCCTGGCCTCAGCCTGGCACAGCTCCAGCCACTGTGGCCATCTGGGGAGTGAACCAGCGGATAGAGGACCTTTCTCTCTGTCTCTCCCTCTGTCTGTAACTCTACCTTTCAAATAAATAAATAATTTTTTTTTAAAAAAAGTCATAATAATTTCTGAAAAACAGGGGCAGGCCTGGGTGGCACAGTGGTTTAAGCCACAAACTGCATATCCCATATTAGTAGTGGCTGCATTCCCGGTTGCTACGCTTCAGATCTATCTCCTGTTAATGCACCTAGGAAGGCAGAAGATGGCCCAAGGGTTTGGGCCCCTGCCACCCACACGGGAGACCTGGATGGAGTTCTAGGATTCCGGCTTCGGCGTGGCCCACTGGGGAGTGAACCAGTAGATGGAAGATCTTTCTCTCTAACTCTACCTTTCAAATAAACAGAAATCTTTAAAAGCAAACCAACCAATCAACTGCAACCAAACATTATCACCTGTTTTCTCCAGTAAGCATTACTTCTTCCTCATCATCTTCATGCTGTTGCACTGCCAGACACCATCTGACAATGACCCCTAAAACTGCTCTAATGATTCTATCAACGAGAGTCCACCAGGCATGCTTGTACTACTTTACAACAATAGTTTAATCTAAACTTCTCAATCATTTAGCTGTCTAACTTTCTTATGCCTCTTAGGCCTGATGTGGTAGTATGCATAGCAAGGCAAGATGGAATAAAAAATGAAGTAACTAAAATGCCTAAACAGAATTTTGTGAGTGACAAATATTTCAACCTACAAGACCCTAAAGTGGAATTTTAGAAAACTACTCATTTTTTAGCCATCTGGGAGATTCCTGTCATGTGTAGGTTTGGCAGCATCTAAGAAGCAAAATAAAAGTAATTTAAGTTTGTTGAGGGATGAAGGCTGGCTAGTGCGCCCTGGAAGGACACAGCAGTGGAGCAAATCACTACCTCGTGAGGGAGACAGGCCCAGAATCTGTATCTTAACATGGCCTTGTTGTTCTCGACTGGATTTTTGAAGTGATTTTGAAAATTCATTCTATTTGTAAAAATGAACATCAAATAGGAGAAAACTTTAGTGTAAACTAAAAAGGTAGATATCCTGTGATGTAAAGACTTTCAGAGGAACTCTTGAGTAAACATGATCAGCTACAAAGTCAGAATCTAGCTCCTACATTCATAAATTTGGGTGACCACTGAAGGAGTGTTTCATGAGTAATTCCAGATACATTTTTATAAATAAACGCTGGCACTGGGGCACAGAGGGTTAATGCCCTGGCCTGAAGCGTCGGCACCCCTTATGGGCACCGGTTCGAGACCCAGTTGCTCCACTTCCTATTCAGCTCTCTGCTATGGCCTGGGAATGCAGCAGAAGATGGCCCGTCTTTGGGCCCCTGCACCCGAGTGGGAGACCCAGATGAAGCTCCTGGCTTCAGATCAGCACAGCTCCGGCCTTTGCGGCCAACTGGGGAGTGAACCATTAGATGGAAGATCTCTCTCTCTCTCTCTAACTCTTTCAAATAAATAAATCTTTAAAAAATAAATAAATCAATAAATAAAGGTGCACAATATACCAGATAGTCCATTCAAAATACAGGAGTGGGGCAGGTGTTGTGGCAAAATTTAAATCTCAGATACTTAGCTTTTGAACCAACTTTCTGCTAATGCATCCCAGCAAACAGAAAACAGTTCAAGTGCTTGGGTTCCTGCAACCCACATGCGAGATCTGGATGGAGTTTCAGGCTCTTGGCTTTGGCCTGGCCTAACCCTGGCTGTTGTGGGCATTTCACAAGTGAACCAGCAGATGGAAGATACCCCTCTCTTTCACTCAACCTTTTAAGCAGATGAAGATAAACTAACTTAAACAAAGACAGGCACAATGTCATAGTCAAAGTAACATGCACTAGATAACCACACTGTTGCACTGCTCCAGAGGCCCAAACAGATCTAACCTATTTCTCACAAGCAAGACCCAATTTGGAAGAAAACAAAATGCAAATAAACGAAAAAGGAAATTACCTCATGTTCTTTTTCCTGCAGCAAAAGAACAATGTCCCCTGGTTCCACCCCAGGAGCCTGGTCTGCTTCCCCAGTGAATGTAATTCTCTGTCCGTGTTTCATGCCTTTGTCTACATGGACTTCAAGAATTTTGACTTCTTTAATCACTTTCTTCCCTTCGCATTTTTTACAGCGGTCCTTTTCATTAATTACTTCTCCTGCAAAGAGAGAACAGTCAAACATCGGACCAGAATACTACATGGTACTAGAGCCAGGTCTTGATAATGTCCTTAACTTTTTTTTAAAAGATTTATTAATTTATTTGAAAGTCAGAGTTACACACAGAGAGAAGGAGAGGCAGAGAGAGAGAGAGGTCTTCCATCTGCTGGTTCACTCCCCAACTGGCTGCAACGGCTGGAGCTGCACCAATCTGAAGCCAGGAGCCAGGAGCTTCTTCCAGGTCTCCCACACTGGTGCAGGGGTCCAAGTACTTGGACCATCTTCTATTGCTTTCCCAGACCACAGCAGAGAGCTGGTTCAGAAGTGGATCAGCTGGGACTTAAGCTGGCACCCATATGGGATGCTGGCTCTGGAGGCAGCAGCTTTATCCTTAACTTACTAAACACATTTTCTGAATTTCTTTAAATCTCTACTTAAATTTCTGTTTAAAGTATCATCTGAATAACAAAGACTCACATCTTACTGCAGGTTCCTGAAGGACCCAAAACCCATTATTTGAATGTCACGTTATTTTAACACTTTCTTGGCTCCTGACTCTAATTCTGAAAGTTAAACAGTCTAAAGATCAAGAAAACAGGGAGCCGGTGCTGTGGCTCACTTGGTTAGTCCTCTGCCTGCGGCACCGGCATCCCATATGGGCACCAGGTTCTAGTCCCGGTTGCTCCTCTTCCAGTCCAGCTCTCTGCTGTGTCGCAGGAAGGCAGTGGAGGATGGCCCAAGTGCTTGGGCCCCTGCACCCACATGGGAGACCAGGAGGAGGCACCTGGCTCCTGGCTTCAGATTGGCGTAGCTCCAGCTGTAGCGGCCATTTGGGGGGGGTGAACCAATGGAAGGAAGACCTTTCTCTCTGTCTCTCTAACTCTGTCAAAAAAAAAAAAAAAAAAAAAATCAAGAAAACAAAAAGTGGTCATCAGGCTTCACTGCAGGAGGTGGCTTAACCCCTTGTGCCACAATGCTGGCCTCTCAGTTCTACTTTCAAGTAAGTTTAATAATGGACAATCAAGATAAAAAAAATTTTAAATATACTTATTTTAAAAAATGGATTTGAGACAGGAGGGAGGAAATGTCACAGAGAGCTCCCATTTGCCTGTACCAGCAGCTGGGGTGGGGGTGCAAGGGCAACCTTGAGGGAGGCAGGAACTCAATCTAGGTTCCCCACAGTGTCAGAAATTCAACTGCTTGGTCCATCACTGTTGTCTCCTTGGACCATTTTAACAAGAAGTTGGAATTGGGATTCAGAGCTGGCAAGTGAACCCAAGTACTCTGATGTGGGATGCAGGTAGACTGGTAGCTAAACTGTTATGCCAAGTGCCACCCCTCCAGTGAAATGTTAAATATCCTTTATGGCTCATCATAAAATTGTATAGTTAGTGTTGGAGCTTATTTCATAGACTAACCATGTTTTTTACTATGGGTCTTCTTTTTACTGAGGCACACCATCCCTAAGAACATCCAAGATTAATTAGAGGGCCTGGCGCTGTGGTGTAGAGGGCAAAGCTGCCACCTGCAGGGCTGGCATCCCAAATGGGCACCTGTTCAAGTCCTGGCTGCTACACTTCCAATCCAGCTCTCTGCTGTGGCCTGGAAAAGCAGCAGCAGATGGCCCAAGTCCTTGGGCTCCTGCACCCATGTGGAAAACCCAGAAGAAGCTCCTGGCTTCAGTTAGGCTCAGCTCCAGGCGTTGTGGCCATTTGGGGAGTGAACCAGCCGATGGAAGATCTCTCTCTCTCTCTCTCCCTCCCTGTTTCTGCCTCTCTGTAATTCTGCTTTTCAAATAAATCTTTTTTTTTTTTTTTTTTTTTTTTTTTACAGGCAGAGTGGACAGTGAGACAGAGAGAAAGGTCTTCCTTTTCTGTTGGTTCACCCCGCAATGGCCACTGCGGCTGGCGTACTGCGCTGATCCGAAGCCAGGAGCCAGGTGCTTCTCCTGGTCTCCTATGTGGGTGCAGGGCCCAAGCACTTGGGCCATCCTCCACTGCACTCCCGGGCCACAGCAGAGAGCTGGACTGGAAGAGGAGTAACCAGGACAGAATCTGGCGCCCCCAACTGGGACTAGAACCCGGGGTGCCGGTGCTGCAGGCAGAGGATTAGCCTATTGAGCTGCGGTGCTGACCTCAAATCTTAAAAAAAAAAAAAAAAAAAAAAAAAAAAAAAATTTAGAGATGGCTTAGTTGGCTCAGGGACCTTTTAACCATTTTTCATAAACAGAGCTTTTCTACATATCTTCTGCAGTATTTGATTATGGAATAAAGCGGCACAGAAGAACACAGAAGAGTGTTTAAAAATTACATCACTTTGTAGTGGTTGATTACTGGTATATTTTAATGCTTAGAAGATATGTATAATTCAAGTACTGTTTCTGTAATAGCACTTTTGCAAAGTTATATTCTCCAAAACACCAGTTCCTCAAAATGGTATTGGTACACAGGAAAAGATTTCATTCAAATTTGGTTTCTTGACAGCAGGAACTGTTAGCAACTTACAAGGTCAAAGGCATAGACACTCACCAAATGCCATATGCATCTTCTTTAAATCATCCTGTCACTTCCAAGAGCAATTTGGAAAAGGATGCTCTAGAACTGCACTATCCAGTATGGTAGACACTAGCCACATGTGGTTTATATTTAAAAGTTTAAATTATTTAAAATTAAAAACTCAATTCTGGCCGGCGCCGTGGCTCAATAGGCTAATCCTCTGCCTTGCGGCACTGGCACACCAGGTTCTAGTCCCAGTCGGGGTGCCGGATTCTGTCCCGGTTGCCCCTCTTCCAGGCCAGCTCTCTGCTGTGTCGCAGGAAGGCAGTGGAGGATGGCCCAAGTGCTTGGGCCCCTGCACCCACATGGGAGACCAGGAGGAGGCACCTGGCTCCTGGCTTCAGATCAGTGCGGTGCGCCAGCCATTGGAGGGTGAACCAATGGCAAAAGGAAGACCTTTCTCTCTGTCTGTCTCACTGTCCACTCTGCCTGTCAAAAAAACAAAACAAAACAAAACAAAACCAAAAAAACAAACAAACAAAAAAACACCTCAATTCTGGGGGCCACTGCTGTGGCAGAGGGTTAAAGCCATGGTCTGCAGGGCTGGCATCCCATATGGGTGCCGGTTTTAGTCCTGGCTGCTCCACTTCCAATCCAGTTCCCTGCTAACGCGCCTGGGATAGCAGCGGAAGATGACTCAAGTTCTTGGGCTCCCTCCACCAACGTGGGAACCCTGATGGAGTCTGGCTCCTGGCTTCAGATCAGCTCAGCTCCAGCTGTGTAGCCTTTTGGGGGAGTGAATCAGCAGATGGAAGACCTCTTGGTCTCTCCCTCTGTAACTCTGCCTTTCAAGTAAGTAAATCTTGAGAGAGAGAGAGAAAAAAAAAAAAAAAAAAAAGACACCCACATCCCACACTGGGGTGCCTGGGTTTGAGCCCAGGATCTGGTTCCCAATTCTGGCTTCCTGATACAGACCAAGGAAGGCAGCAAGTGACGGCTCAAGAGACTGGATCTCTGCCACACTCATGGGAGACCTGAACTGACTTCTTGGCTCCCAACTTCAGCCTAGCCCAGTCCTAGATACTGTGGGTACTCGGGGAGTGAGCTAGTGGATAAGTGCTCTTCCTCTCTCACTTTCTACTTCTTATATTAAAAAATAAGTAGAATGCTATAAACATGTATAAAAAAGAAAAACTCAGGTCTTTCATCATACTAGCCACCTTTCAAGTACTTACTAACCAAAGATATCTAGATGCCTCTATAATGGACCCTGCAGATTCAGAACACTTCTGTATCACATAAAAAGCAATTCTACTGGAATAGCACAGCTCTAACAAAGGTTTCCTATGGGGAAAATAGGAAAGGTACTTGTTTTTAAAGTTTTACTGGAACACAGTCATTTTCATTTGTATACATGTTGTCAGTAGCTATAAGCACTAAAGAGCAGAGGTGAGTAGTTGTGACAGAAACCATTTGGTCCACAAAGCCTAAAATATTTACTTTTGAGAAGAGCTTCAACCCCAATATCCATCCTCAAAAATTCAACTATGCCTTATAGTAAAATCCTCCACTTAACAATGATGATAACAAACAAGTTGCCATCTCATTCATCAAATTTAACTTTTTAAAATACAATCACCTTGCCCATGTTTTTGGAATTAAAGACCAACTTTTTAAATTTACCTTTTATCTGTGTTCACTGTGTCTACAAATAAGGAATTTTTGTTCAGTTTCTTTTAGAATTCTGTCTTTTCTATAGTAATATGAATACAAATACACTTTGAAAGACAGTAAACCTCTCTAATTTCTGCATTCCCAGTCCAACATAAAAGCAAAGAAGTACTGCCTTGCATACCTTCTCCATTGCAATCAGAGCACACAGACTGCATCTGCTGTACCATCCCTGGAGCCAGCTGTCTGATCATGATGCGTACACCTCGACCTCGACAAGCACTGCACTTCTGAACTGCTCCAGACTTCCCACCTTGGCTAAAGCAAGCAAAATTATACGTTAGCTTCTGTCCAAATTCTGTTCTGGTCAGCCATGACAGAGAGAAGTTGTGCTTTTCTTCTTCATTTTCAACCCCCAATAACTAATAATATTTAAACTGACTTTCACAGGAAACAGAAAATGTTCCGCTGGGTAAAGTTTCAATTCATGAGTGATTTTTCTTTTAAACAAGGTAGAGACGTTCAAGGTGCCACGGAAAGAACAGACAGAATGTACCACATAAACCAGAACACACACTTACCCGCTGCACGCACTGCAGAGTACATTCTTGCTAAGTTGTAGTTTGGTTGTCTTGCCATTATACAGATCTTCTAAAGATACTCTGGGGAGAAAAGAATCAGATTCAACCTAATTTTGCCATTTGCTTAAGTACAAAACATAAAGGATGGCTGATAAAGCAAATTCCACTATTAACATTTTAAAACCATTCAAAAACACCTCAGAGTAAATCAACTCAGCTGAGGCTTTATCTTGCAGCTCAAATTAGCAGGACATTATGGCTATGGACAGCATGCATAGTACTCAAGGCCAGAACCTACAGCTGTGCTACAATTGCAGCTAAAGCTGTCAAAGCAAAAACTCAAGCATCACAATCTTCCTCTGGCTCTAGAGTCCAAGCTCTCAAGCTACAAAGTTACATTACAGCTTAGAGACGGCACCTAATTGTGTATCTCATTTTTTAAAATATATTTTTTTTTATTTTTTGACAGGCAGAGTTTTAGACAGTGAGAGAGAGACAGACAGAGAGAAAGGTCTTCCTTTTGCCGTTGGTTCACCCTCCAATGGCCGCTGCAGCCGGCGCACCACGCCAGGAGCCAGGAGCTTCTCCTGGTCTCCCATGGGGTGCAGGGCCCAAGCACTTGGGCCATCCTCCACTGCACTCCCGGGCCACAGCAGAGAGCTGGCCTGGAAGAGGGGCAGCCGGGACAGAATCCAGTGCCCCAACCGGGACTAGAACCTGGTGTGCTGGCACCCCAGGCGGAGGATTAGCCTATTGAGCCGCAGCGCCGGCCTGTATATCTCAAAAAAAGTCTCCATGTACACTGTAACAGAAGGAGGGAAAGAACAGGTTTTCAAAAAAGAATCTACACCAAAGTTCAGAGGTTCTGAAGAATCTACCAAAGCATAAGCAAAATGTTATGTTGAAACAACTCATGCCACATTTCGAAGAGGTCTATAAGCCAAAAGGTAAGTGTTACAACCATATTTTCAAACTCACTAAATGTATACAGCTTTTTGTATGTCAGTCATATCTCAATAAAATGGTACAGGAAAAAAAAAAAAACCTTGGGGCAAATATAGTGGTATATAGCAGGTTAAGCTGCCCTCTGCAGTGCCAGCATTCAACATGGGTGCTAGTTCTAGTCCTGGCTGCTCCACTTCTGATCCAGCTCCTTACTTATGTGCCTGTGAAAGCAGCAAAGATGGCCCAAGTACCAAAGATGGCCCCTGCACCTGAGTGGGAGACTCAGAGGAAGCTCCTGGCTCCTGGATTCAGCCTGGCCCAGCCCTGGCTGTTGTGGCCATTTGGGGAGTTAACCAGCAGATGAAGACATCTCTTTCTCTTTCTTCCCTCCACCCCTTCCTCTCCCTCTTTTTTTTAAAGTCAGAGTTACACACAGAGAGAGAGGTATAGACAGAGAGAGGTCTTCCATCTGCTGGTTCACTCCCCAAGTGGCCGCAATGGCTGGAGCTGTGATCTGAAGCCAGGAGCCAGGAGCTTCTTCCAGTCTCCCATGTGGGTATAGGCGCCCAAGGACTTGGGCCATCTTCTGCTGCTTTCCCAGGCCATAGCAGAGAGCTGGATTGGAAGTGGAGCAGCCGGGTCTCGAACCGGCGCCCATATAGTCTGTTGGCACTTCAGGCCAGGGCCTTAACCTGCTGGACCACTGCACCACAGCACCGGCCCCCCTCCCCCTCTCTCTGTAACTCTACCTTTCAAATAAATAAATCTTAGGGAAAAAAAACAAAATACATAACTGACAAAATATAACTCACTTTTATTCATTTACTTTAAAATCCTAGGAATTAGGTAAACTAAAAAAACAGTAAAAAGAAAAAATTTTTACAGAAACTATCCTGCTTTTGTGGTATTCAAATTTTTAAAAATTTTACTTTAGGCCAAAACTGATATATATTACAAGCAGTCTAAGAACACTTAAGAGACAAACGTTACCAACAGTACTCCTAAATAATGACATATCTACATCTGAGCCTCAGACAAATGATTTGGTTCCAAGAGTCTTTTATACTCCTCCTAAGAATCTTTTATCATTTAAAGAAACGAACAGGTAGGTAGGTCTTTCTCTACCCACATATTAAGTCACATTTAGGACACAAGTCCATTATTCTGGAAGACAGAAAAACCCGCATTTCAACAAACACGACCAAGGGAGCTCACATGCAGTTAATGGCCTGGCAAAGCTGGCACTTCATCAGTGGGGGCTAAACTGGCACAATTCTTCTACTGTGCAATTGAGTAGTTTTATTGGCCTCAAAACACTGATGTTTGCCTATGAATCTCTGCCAGAGACAAAACTGTATATCAAGATATTCATAGCACTGCTATTTCAACAAAAACTCACAACATACTATAAAAGGTGAATGGTTAAATAAATTGTGGAATGGAATGTCACTCAAAATGCAATGTTTATAATTAACAGGAATTTAGGAAATAATGTTAAAAGGAAGCAGTGTTTAATATGCAGAATAAAAAAAAAACCATAAAAGATTATGAAGAACCCCAAGGTACAAAAGCATTCTCTTGACTACTAGAACGGAATTCAAACAATAATCTGATGGTAAATTTCTTTAAAGTACAAACAAATTTTTAAGGATGAGACACAAACAAGGTTAACAGATTACATATGAATTCCTCTAATTTACTCGAATATTAACTTAGATATGAAATATTTTAAATCACCACTTGAACTTTTGTCTCCCAACATTTGCTAGTAAAAGCACCACTGGTTCATGAAAAAGTTAATGAAGTAAGAGATCGCCCAAATTTTGCAAAGTGAAATAGCTATTTTCATATTATAGAAAGCTTGCAGATTTGCAGTCTAAGATCAAGGTCAAACACCATTCACATGCTGGCAGGTTAATGTCAGGCTGGAAGCCAGCAGACTCCATAGAAACCAATTTAGGAGAGCTGGCACTGAGGATCAAGCAATGAGTGACTATAACATGCAAACACACTATGCTTTCACTTAGTTTTGAAGCAAAAAGTTACTTGGAGGAATTAAATACTCCAAAGAAAATCATCTTTATACTTCGAATTTTAAATCACCTAATAACAAGCAGCCACACTATGTAACAAACCCTCTTCCTACTCAGGGAAAAATATCAAGCATCCTTTTTAAGAGCTGCAACAGCATATAGACAATGAAGACAGTAGGGCAAATGGATACCTCCCCATGAACATTTTACAATACTTTTTCTCTTCTAATGCCACCCAAAAGGGTATTTTATTTTTTGTTTAAAAAAAGGAAAAGATATTTACTTGAGTGGATGCATCATGTCCTCTCCTCTTCTTCTGCCGTTTCGACTTCTACTCTGATTGCCCATAAAGCCGAACAATCCCCCACCAAAAATGTGAGAGAAAATGTCATCCATGCCACCACCGCCGCCACTACCTTCCCGAAGCCCTTGTTCTCCATATCTGTCATATAATTCACGCTTCTCGGGATTTGATAGAACTTCATATGCAAAGCTTATTTCTTTGAACTATAGAGAAAAAGTAAAAAATAAAATAAATGGGTTTATTTCTATAAAAACCTAGAATCCACTTAACCTCAATAAAAGCTACATGTTCCCTTTGGTTTGATTCTACCTCTGCTCAAAATGTTAGTACTCATATCTTGATACTAAAATACTCTTTATTCTATGAGCATAGGTGAACTTTCCCCCGCAACAATCCTTTTTCTAAGGACAATTAAATTTAAAATGAAAACCACAGGAACAGAAAAATTTCCAAGTAACTTACTTTGTCTCCAGCATTTGGATTCTTATCAGGATGGTATTCCTTGGCTAATTTTCTGTATGCCTTAAAAAAAAAAAAATTTAAGAAAGGATTATACACAAGCACCAGTTTAAATACTTGTGATAACTAACTTAATATCTACTTTTAGGAAAAGCAATATTCTGAAGTGGTAACCTTCCAAAAATATCCCCTATCCATGTGCTGCCCAGCTCAGCATGGTTGACTCACTAACGTTACAAAGTAGTCAGTAGCTGTCCTTGAAAATAGCTTCTACTGAAGCAAAAGATACCAAAAGAAAAAATGTTAAGATATTATCCCGTATTTGCACTGTCAAATGTCTTTGATGGCCAGTAACCAGACCAAGACTCAAATCAATTCTAGAAAAACGACTGGTACGCTCCACAGACCGCAAAACATTACTATAATTTAAAATAAAAACCCCTGCCCATGAAGGCTGCAGCCTCCTCTCTCTCGCACAACAGGGAAAAACCAAGGGAAGGCCTGGTGGGTAATTAGGGGCTACAGCGAGGAGGCAGGAAACTTGCCTACATCCTCAACTCGGTGGCCGGGACTCAGGTCTCCATTCACACAGACTCATGAATTATATAACAGACGTGCATTTCCGGTAAGGTAACAGGAAGTCCATCTTACTCTCAGCTGTACCCGTCCCACTGAGCAGCATTCTCGTTTCTCTCAGGTTACAAATACGGGCACTCTAAGCCCGGGAGGATGCTGTGGGGCTTAATTAAACGCCCCAACCGCTTTGAAATCCCGAGATGAAAGCCGGCGCAGCACTGCACAGGGCGGCAATGAGGCCTTCCATTTATTTTTAGGCAGTGTCCACTCAGGTGCTTGGCTGGGACCCCATGGTTCATTCCAGAAGTGGGTACGGAACATGTAGGTTACCTGCCCAGAGAACAAAGCATCCCAACGCAGACCCACGCTCCCGCCCGGTCCATGACTGATGGAGGAAGAGAGGGAGGAGCTCCCGAGGCCGGCAGCCACGGCGCCCAGGAAACAAGCCCCAGCACCCCAGCACCCGGCGGGAGCGGCCTCGACCCCCGCCGCGCGGACGGACAGCCTCTCCCTCCAGTCAGGATGCGCCGGAAACCTCGGTCCAACCTGTTTTTCCGGGGTTGGTGACCTCGGCGCGGGGAGGGCCGGCCAGGCTGCTGCCTCCCGGGAGCACCGGCCTCCGGCGCTCACCGGGGGAGGGAGGCAGGAAGGGTTTTCGGCGTGTTTGCGCAGGGCTGAGTTTTATTTGCTGCATCTGCGGGCGGGCGGGGCCGGCGGCCCAAGGTCAGCCGAGGCCGGCGTGCGAGGCCCGCGGCGAGGCCGGTCCCGCCGCCGCTCCCCAACCTGGACCCGCCGCGGCCGGCGCCGGCTCGCGAGCCGCCCCGCAGCGCGGCCTGCCCCAGCCGTCCCGGCGGCGCAGGCCCCGCGCCCTACACATCCTGCCGGCCCGGCCCGGCCCGCTCCCTACTACCTTCTTCAGCTCATTCTCGCTGGCGCCCGGCGGGACGCCCAGGATGTCGTACAGCTTCGTGTCGGCCACGTTCGCCATGGTGACTGGCCGGGCAGCGCTGAGCTAGGAAAGGGGCGAAGCGGACAGAGCGAAGCCGGGCCCACGAGCAGTGGCGGCGGCGGCGGCGGCGCAGGCCGAGGGAGACAGCGAGGGGGAAGCGGGGGCGGGGCTGAACCTTGACCCGGCGCACGACGCTCCGTGACGTCACTGCGCGGGCCCGCCCCCGAGCGTCCGGGCCGGAGCCGTTGGGTTGTGAATGGTGCGGAGCGGGCCGTGTGCTCGCCGTCTGCTCCAGGGCTAGGCGGTGCTGAGGTTCCGACGTAGAGAACGAGGAGGACCTTTACGCGGAACTCAGCCCACCCCGGAAGGCGTGCGTCGCGGGCTCCGCGTGTTTAACGCAGCCCTGAGGGCCGAGATGAATAAGAGGCCCGCGGTCGCCCTTACTTTAGCCTCGGGTCTGGCGGGAAAGAGTCTCGCGTCAGTCTTAGAGTCCAGATTGTCGGAGGACCCTCGGGTCTGGTTCCTTCGGGATTTAAAATGAAAAAGCACCCCTGGGGTGTGTCTCAAAATTGCGGGAATCCTCAACCATTCTCCAAAAGTAGTGTTCATCAAAAGTAGCTGCTTTTCACCAGTTTTGTTTCATCCCCCCACCCCACCCCGCACGGTCCCTCAGTCCGTACTTCCCAGTGTTTTAAGAGAAACCATTTCATTCATATGTATCCTGAGTATACCAGGGGGCTAAAAAGAGTTGGTGGGAAATGTGCCTTATCTTTTAATTCTATTTTTCTAAGACCCTTTTGAAGCCCCCACATATACCTGAGAAGACTTTAAGGCATCATCACAAAGTTAATGAAATTAGCAGTTCCCTTATCTAATTCCAATCCATAGGTGTATTTCCCTGATTGTCTCATGTCCGTTTTGCAGTTGGTATGTGGCGTCCACATCCAAACCCAAGGCCACACATTGTATCGAGATCACGTGCTTACATCTCTTGATAAAAAGCTTTAAAATAGCCAACACCAGCCTTGTGGTGTGTGGCAATCTGGCTGTGTGGAGATTCACCTGGTGGTTGATGTGTGTTGATTAACTTTGCCTTAGCTTAGCTCGGACAATGTTGGCTGTGCATATACTTGGTGTTGAGATATACAGAAGCAGAAGCCTGGGTGGTTGGAGGAGACTGTTAAAAAAGCCTTCCTTCAAACCATCGTGGAGACAGAAAAATAAGATGTGCTCATCAGCTGGAACCTGAACTGGTGGCATCTCACTCAGGATAGCCTTTCTTCCTTGGCATTCTCCCTGACCTAGTTGCTGAGTCCTGAGTGCCATACGAAGGACTTTGAAATTTAGCCTGAAAAGCCTGGGGAGTCGTTGATAAGTTAGGATGCTCTTCCCAAGAACCCTCCCTTTCCCTCAAATCCCAGCCTGGTGAACTCTACTATCTGATTTGAGTTCCCACTAGCAGTTCGTTTTTGCCTTTGTGGACACTGCTGTGTGACCTGATGATGTATTCTGACGGGATCATCTGAACTCCATGGATAGCTGTAGGGTACCCTAGAGGAGATTCACTTTTCTGTATTCCACAGGGTCTGGCTTTGAATGCAATAAAGGCCTCAGTAATTCAAATGCATGAATGTCCTTATTGTTCAAATGCTGATCATCATCTTTCTGTGCTTATGCACTGCTGTGAAATACCATTTCTCCAATGCCTTTTCACACTTTGACATGTTCATAAGAAGGAGTTTAAAAAGTTGGGGTAATGTTAGATTGTGTAGACTGGTAGCCTGGCTCTGCCGTTTTGTTAACAATGTGACCTTCAGCCAGTTACTTAACTTTTCTGAGGTTATTGCCTCATGTGTAAAATGGGGGCTTAATAATTGCATTATTGGTTTGTTTGAAGATTAAAAAACTTATATATAGGGGCCTGCACTGTGGTGCAACAGGTTGAAACCCCCGCCTGTAGCGCCAACATCCCGTAGGGGCACCAGTTCAAGCCTGGCTGCTCTACTTCCAATCGATCTCCCTGCTAATGCGCCTGGGAAAGCAGCAGAAAATGGCCCAACTGTTTGGGTTGTACCCACGTGGGAGACCTGGAAGTAGCTCCTGGCTCCTGGCTTCAGCGTGGGCCAGTTCTGGGCATTGTGGCCATTTGGGGAGTGAACCAGCAGATGGAAGACCTCTCTGTGTGTCTCTACCTCTCTCTATAATTCTGCCTTTCAAATAAATAAAATACATTTTAAAAAATTTTATATAGGTTATTTAGAATAGGAATTAAAGCCAATTAGGTGTTAGCTATTAATTTCTGGCCTATGTGCCTACAGAATGCCTCTGTGTCTATCCTGTCCCTGTTCATTTAAATCCTGGCTTCCCTAGTGGGATTCCCCAACTTCTTTCATTGCCTACCTAAGTGGAATGCCCCCTCAGTGTGTTTTGTGATCTCGTCTTCCCAGATCTCCCTGCTTGGCAATTACCTTTTGCTTTTTTCTCATTTCTCCAGCACTTCCTGCCCCATGTGAGAATGTGGACTGAACAATTTGTCTTTACTGCAGCCTTCTCTTCATGTAATTCATCTTATTTTCTTTCTGCTTTTGAACAGTTAAGGAGCTGGATTTTCCTGTTTGTTTCAGTTTTACTCACATCTTTCTTTTTGTTCTTGTTTGCAAGGGGAAAAAAAAAATCCTCACTTGATTTGATTTTAGTTTCTGATAGTCTTAGTGAAGAGCTGCCGACTCTAAACCAGTCACCACAGTTCCTGCTTAAGATTGTTTGAGTTTTTAAATTTGTAATATTTTCTCCATTTCTGAGTGTTAATTGTAGTCGGCATTGTTATTTGCTCTTTTTATAGGTCAACAAGTTGTTCAGAACATCCCTGTGTGCTTTGGCTTACACATGCTCTCCTCCCTGTCATCACAGACTTGAGTTAAACCTGGGTTGGTGTGACCACTGCAACGTCTCAGCCACTGATTCTGTGTTTTGAGGTAGTTCATTTATTCTAGCTCCATATTTAGCTAATGTCACCAAGGGAGAAAGGCCTTTATCTCATTTCATGTCTCAGACACTACAAAATGCTGAGTCATAGTGCATCTCAGGGCTGTTCACAGTAGGCAAGTGATTTAAAGTCTGAGGCTGGAATGATTTCAGATTTCTGCCAGGCTTACATTGTTTAGTTTCTTGATTTTGTTTTGGTGTGCGTGGGTAACTGTGTGGGTCGGGGTGCTGAGGAGGTGAATAAGGATTAGGAAGGGTGAGTGTGAACTGCAGTATTTCTGAAGGCCGTTCAAACTGTTCACACACAATTGAGAACAGTATAATCCATTCCTTTAGACAACCCCAAATATATCATTCAGGTAGTTCAGAAAGTAGTTTTACTTTCTGCCTTTAGTTTTAAATGTACAGAGTAGGTGATACAAGTTAAAGTATTTTTTTTCAGGATACAGAAGAAGGTGCTAATGGTTCCTGGTGGGAGAGTGTAAGGATCACCAAATTGATGGTTGCTAGTACTTTAGAAGAAAAAAATTGGGAGCTTTGGATCACTAAAGAATCTCCTTGAAGAGCCTCAACTAGATTATTCAGTGATGGGATAGTTAGATTGTATATGTTATTCTATCCCCACCTCTACCACTTCAAACTTATCATGTCAAACCCTGTCATATTAATTAGCATATTGTGAAGGATCAATATTTTATATCATAGCAGTAGTATGGTAAGTTGGGAAATTGGATAAGTATATGTTTCTAACCATTTATGAGGGAGAAAACAGTGAAGAAGATATGTCTATATATTCATTCATTCAGCAATGAATGAATTGTGTCAAAAATATTGCCAGGCATTATTCAGTGCTAGAGACACAGTCATAAACAAAACAAAAATCCCAGTCATTATAGAACTTACATGTTAGTGGGAAAGGCAGATAGTAAACAAACCAGTCAATATATTTCACTTGCTACATGTGCTCTGGAAGAAAAAGAAGGGGGAAAATCCTCATTGATAAGGTGATAGTTGAACCATGATCTTAAAGAAATGAGGTAGTTAGCCACAAAGATATTTGAGAAAAACATTTCCCATGTGGGTGCAGGGGCCCAAGCACTTGGGCAATCTTCCACTGCTTTCCCAGACACATTAACAGAGCTGTGTTGGAAGTGGAGCAACTGGGACACAAACTGGCAACCATATGGGATGCAGGTGTCACAGGTAGCAGCTTTACCCTCTAGGCCACCACACTGGTCCCAAGTTTTAGAATTTTTTTTAAAGGTTTTTATTTACTTATTTGAGAGGTAGAGTTACAGACAGAGATGGAGAGACAGAGAGAAAGATCTTCCATCCACTGGTTCACTCTTCAAATGGCTGCAATGGCTGAAGTTGAGCCAATCAGAAGTCAGGAGCTTCTTTTACGTCTCCCATGCAGGTGCAGGGGCCCAAGGACTTGGGCCATCTTCCACTGCTTTCCCAGGCCATTAGCAAAGGATCTGAAGAGGAGCAGCCCAGACTAGAACTGGCACCATATGGGAAGCTTGTGCTACAGGTTTTAGCCTACTATGCCATAGCACCAGCCCCTTTAGAACATTTTTAACAGGCTAAGCAATTCTATGAACAATCTGGGAGTCTGATTTTTATGTAAATTCTTAGTTAAATGTTTCCATAGGATACATTTCTAGAACATCCCTAATATTTTTATTTTGTCAATTTCATTCCTAAAGAATACATAGTTTTGTTATGGTATCATTTTGCTTGTATTTTTTTAAAAGATTTTATTTATTTGAGAGGTAGAGTTATAGAGAGAGTGAGAAACGGACAGGTCTTCCATCTGCTGGTTCACTACCCAAATGGCCACAATGGCCAGAACTGGACCGATTCAAAGCCAGGAGCCAGGAGCTTCTTCCAGGTCTCCCATGCAGGTGCAGGGGCTCAAGCACTTGGGTCATCTTCTGCTGCTATCCCAAGCCACAGTGGACAGCTAGATCTGAAGAGGAGCAACCAGGACTAGAACTTGTGTTCATATGGGATACCAGCGCCACAGACAGAGGCTTAGCCAACTACACCATGGCACCGGCCCCTTGACTGTATTTAGAACAGTCCTTAAAATACTTGTTCTAAAGGCAGAATGAATTTGCTTAATAAAATTTCCATGCCTTAAGCATTAGAACAGTCATCCAAAATCTGCAGTGACATTTTAAGTG